AAAAACATTAAAATGATATATTTACAATATTATAAAATATTATAAGTTTATAATTAAAATGTTTTATTATATTATGATTAATTTTTTATTTAAAATTTATTTAAAATATTTTATTTATTTATTTAATAATAATTCAAATTATAAATTTATAATCTTATTAACAACCTATTAATATAAGGAAAAGAAACTTGCTCTCTTTTAAATAAAATTTTGAATTTGAATCTTGTGAATATAAAAATAAATTTTAAAAAGGTTTTCACTTATGAAATGAGATCTGACATAATTTATTTTAAATTAGTTATGATTTAATATAACTTTTGGATATTAAAAAATTTAATAAAAAATAATTATAATTTTACATAATATTATAATTATATTATTTATTTTTATTTGTATTAAAATATCCATTGACTTGGACATATATTTAATTATTTCAGTTCCTTATCTTAATTTGTTTTGGGTCCGAAGGTGTCAGAAAAAAGAGAAAGGAGTAATTTTCTATAAATAATAGAAAACATGAGAGCTAAATACAAAAAATATTGAGTCTGGAATACTCTTTTGCACTGTTTTTCAGGTTGATTTTTCTGATATAAAAGGCAAAATTTTTCAATGAGAAATTTAAATTAAGGTGTTGTAATTTTCTTGCCAATTTCCCCGCTTTTTTTTCTTTGAAGTGTTACAATTTAAGGTAAAAGGAAAAAAATATTTATACAATATTATTGTTATTTAAGTTTTAGTACCCGTCAAAATATTAGCTACTCCAGCCAACTGGCCTGTAAGCATGGGTACCTCCCCTTTTTTTATCCGTTGAACCGTAAGAAAATCAACATAAACACTGTTTTGTCTTGAAAGGCAAAAAGATCAAATTCACCCTCAAACTTGTCAAGTTGGCGCAAACTAGTTACTCTGCTTTTTACTACCCACAAGTCAGCCCCTGAACTTACAATTCAGGCAAATCTCTCCCTCTTTAACCGCTAGCGTCCCCTCAAGTCAACTACCCGGCAAGCATTCTTTTTAGGTTAAATGCTAAATTTGGTCCCTCAACTTTAGTGGTTTGCACATTTTTGGTCCCTTGAGAATTTTTTGCACTTTTTTGATCCCTCAACTATACGAAATGCACTCCGTTAGTCCTTCTGTTAATTTGGACCGTTAACTCCGCTTGTGTGGCATTTTTTATATTTTTTTTGATGATGTGGAGAGCAAAGTGATGATGTGGCGAGCAAAGTGATGATATGGACAAATATTTTGACATTTTATATTACCCTCATGCCAAATCATACTAATATGTGTTAAATTCATTCAAATGGGTCCCACTTCATTAATTAAAAAAAATATCTTTTAATGACATGATAAATTAAGTGATATTTTTTTTATATTTTTTAATAATATAACAAATTAAATTAAATATTTATCCAAATAAAAAATAATATCA